GTGGCGGCATAGGTGGTCGAAAAACACCCTGAGCCAACATGAAACACAACGTGAGGGAAAAACGGAAGAAGCAACGCACGGTCACCCACAGTGGTTGAATCTTTATTCAACAAGTAGCTGATGCTTCCAAAAGCGTTCCGCGCGATTGGGGTCGTCTGAAGTGCAGGGCATTTACCTCTGGGCTTCGGAACCTTCGGTGGCACCTCAAAAAAAAGCAGTTTGTAAAACCTGCAAGAATGTACAAACCTAGCCGCGCATTCATGGCACAACAAAATCAAAACATCTTTTTGGAGCAAGAATCTAACTTCATATTGAGAGGTCCGCAGTCTGGAACAATGCCATGAAACCAATCTGGATCAAATCCAGAAACCCACTTCGTCACATCGCCAGGTTCCACGTACCCGAAACGTGGCACTCGTTCATCTCGACCAAGCCGCCGGGCCTCAGCGCAAAGCTGAAGAAACTGTATCCTCAAACATCCTCAATCAAGCAAATATAATATCTGAGGAATCTACGGTATTCGTAAAGATCTTTTTTGATCTCCGCATCTGCTTGACCTTAAAGATTCGGATATTGGAAGACATATTGTAATCACGCTTGGATTAGGTTTGAGCTGCAGACTCGAGCTTGAGCAGGTTTTTTGGATCTCTTCCGAACTCTCTTCCCCTGCAGACGGCATAAAAGCGCGCAACAATCGATTAACAGGTTGGTCCAAGCTGGGAGCGCTGCTGCCAGTGCTGCTGCCATGGGCTTCTTCGGCCCACAACTTTCATCACCAACCGGCCTTGCAAACCGCGTTGTTTTTTCCGCGGTTGCAACACAGCGTGAAAGAATCACCACCTCCGATTGGTATACTCAGCACCTGGCCAATCACTCAGCGTGGAAATCTGCCGCTTGAACACCATGACGGCCCGGCGGCACGCCCAATAAACGGCAGCGGAAGCTGGAGAAAAAACTGGTGGGTTGTCTGTGCGTCAAAGCCGCGCGCATTCCGAGTCGACCGCCCCGACAGCAAACAACATACTGTAAACTGTTGGACTGTCAACTGTGGGATGGACCATGGAAACACCAGCCCCACACATTCATTGACATTTTTAGAAAAATGGAAACAATCTTAGAATCTCTGCCTATGGGGCTTCTATTGCGCTTGAAGGACTCCGTAGTAGTAGTAGTAGTAGTAGTAGTAGTAGTAGTAGTAGTAGTAACTTGGAGAGGGGGGGGCGGCAAGGCAAGGCAGCATTGTGCCATGAGCATAACAATTGGAGCCAATCCTAAACATCACCATCACCCATGTCCTTGGACGGGAGGATGGTAGTAAGGCTGGCATCAATTTTGCAAGCAAATCATTTTGGAGCACAAGGCAGTGACAGCAATCTGCCAGAAGCATAAATAATTGGAGCCAGTCATGATGTGACCCCAGCCCACCAAAATTGTTGTTGTCCTGACCATCACCCAGCCATCCTGGTTAGAGATTGCAATCCCAGATAGCAAGAAAATTGCTTCAGTCCGGATGTGGAGATGCCGCCGGCATCCAGCCAGCCTGATGCAGAGATGTCAGATCCCGCTCTCACAGCCACAAAGCACCCAGAGCAAGATCGGCCGGAAATGCAGATCCCCAGCATGCGCAGAGATTCATGCTGTTGTCAATGCGGAGGATGAACTTTATCACATGAGATATTTATGGTCCGAGCTCAATCATCCACCGGGCTGTTTGATGCGGCTTTCAGCAGACAACATAGTCATGCTTTCTCCAGGAATTGTGGTGACAGACAGTAAGAACCTCTATGATCGCATGGACAAGGATACACCAACCATTAAGGGTGAAGAGAAACGGGCCACGATAGAAGCTCTTGCATTGAAGGATTCAGCAACAGACTCTGGAACCATGATCAGGTGGGTGCATTCCGATGCTCAACTAGGAAATTCACTCACAAAACCTACGGAAAAGGGTCAAATCCATTTGTACTTCCAGATGGGCCAAAAGTGGAGGATAGTATACGATGAGAAAATGAAGTCGGCACGACGCCGAAAAGCTGAAGGGATAAAACCTATGGAAAGTTAATTTTTTGTTAAATTTAGATGTCCACCGGTGCAAATTCCAGTCAGTCTGCAGGTCCGGAATTCATGTCGGCTACACTCAGCACTCAAGCCCCCGCGGTTTGACCAAAAAGGGAGCGCGCATCGACTGCTGGCTCCGCCTTTCGTTGTGCATTCGCATATATATATATATAACAATTCCTTCTTCCATTTTCAAGTTCCATCCTCTGAGAATCCAAACGAAGCTCCTGGAAGCGGGCCCAAGCAGCAGCCCGCAGCCTGAGCTCAGGCTAAAGGGCTTCCGAAAGGATCTCGGGTGTGACTATACCATATCAAAAAAATATCAGGGTTGCTACAGTCATCAACACAGACTTGGCAATCTCTGTGCTGTTTCTGCTCCTCCACTGAAGGGGAATGATGTCGAAGCGAAAACTGAAACACATCCACCTGTACACGCCAGTACCAACCAGCAAGCGCACCACCTCCACCTGCAGATGCTTGGGGCGCTGAACTTTGCTAACAGGCATCACTTGCAGTAACGCAGTATAGTCATAAGTCATAAGTTATACTGTAGCATTGTGAGGGAAGAAGGAACATGAAGAAGCTACACACCACATATAAATCATCCAAATGTCTCACCAAAATGCACAAGCCACCCTTGGCATAATTGTTGACCCTAACGCTACTAGGGGCTCCTGGCCTTACTACTAGGAACAAGAAGCTACTAGGGGCTCTTGGCATCGCTACTAGGAGCAAGGACGCTACTAGGCCCTAGGCAGGGAAGCGTCTCCAGCCTGGCCCCTGGAGGTCGCCACATGCGATGGTGTACGGTCCTCACTGGCGGGCCCCTTGTATTGCAAGCATGATTTAGCCACTGGATATGGAAGACATGGGAACCCAAACAAACAACGTGACTCACCAAACTAAGTTCTTTAGGCAGTATATATATAAGTATAGGTGCTTTTAGACAATCTATATATGCCTTCTACTGCTACAGAGTCACCGCTAAGTGTAAGCTCGTAACATCTTGTAGAACACTTGCAGGTGTTAACTCATACGCCAGGGGGAATATAAAACGCGTGAAGTTCAAGCACAGTGCACACCAAGACATCCTGGGTATCACGAAGCATCGTGTCCGCGCCACCTTCAAGTAAGGCTTCCACAACCTGTGACTCGATTCACACGCGCCATTTCGGCGACAGTATCATGATAAAGTTACAAGACGTACTAATACTACAACCTTGTGTTTCTTTAATTGCAAATATGGACACTGCAACTACCGCCAAAGCTCACAGAAGTGTACATAAAAACAATTCATGCAATTTGTCTTTGCCAAATTGGATTGAATCCATAAAAGCACCCGACGATTGACAGCAAGTATAGATGCTCTGAACGTGTCAAAAGGTACTGTTTGGTTCATCACAAGATTCGTTAAACAGCCTCGACGGATCCTTGATGGGCAGCATAGTGGAGGGCTGTTCGTCGTCGTGTCTCACTGTCAGTACCTCTCATCGTCACTGGGAAGCTCTGTGAAGCCCGAGGCCAAGCTGCTGAGCAGTACGAAGCTCCAAGTTGCCGGCTGTTTACAAAGAACACGTCTCCGCATCTTTGAGCCTGGCAAATCAAAGTCTCACATCGGTGTGTTCTGTGCCTTCATCACTATCACCCTTTGCACAAATACGTTGTTAATTTACTGTACTCAGCCAGTTCCAACACATTCAGTAATTCGTAAACCTTTGCTGATCAAGAATGCCTGGTCCAAAAGATACTGGACAGTAGTTGCGTCTCCGATCGCAGCAAAATAGCACAACCTCGGATGTTCGCTCACCATCAGGGCGATTGGTGGGCCTGGGTTTGCAAATGTCTCCCTCCAAAGATCATTGGTTTGAGCCGCTTCTCGATGGACAGAACCCAGGTTTAAAAGCTTGGTCTTGCCCACGTTTGCCCACTGCATTCTGCTTGTCACACAAGCTCCGACGTGAGGGTCCAACGATCCTGGCTGCAAGCTTTGGTACCTCAAGTTCATCACAGGAACCTGCAAGCAAGAAGAATCATTAACTCACAAGTCGATATGCATTTGATGAACAAAATGTTTCAGTGCGACATATCTGCAGCATCTGTGAAGCTTGGGATCCTGTTTTCTTAATGTCTGGAGTGCAAACCACGCCTTGCGAGCACGCTTCTGTAGAACCTCTGCTGGCCTTACTGCTTGGCTGCGTTCTGTTGGAGGGCCCATGATCTCCTGAAGAATCTCGAAGTCCTGAAAAGGTGACTGAACTTGGCGACCAACAGCTAGGCCTAGGTCTATACAACAACAAAAACAAATACTCTTGTCATCTCTTGTCTCAACAAAGAAAAGCAACAACTTCCATGGTGCCTAAATCGGTACTTACTAGCAAGGCAAACGCAAACCTTGTCCCGCTGCTCACGCTCTGCTCGGAGCCGAGAAATTTTGCCCAGCACCTGCAACGTGCGGGAAGTGTTCTGATTAAAGCAGGTGCTAGCTTTACACAACTAATGAACTCTTGGCTGATCTAGACAAATTTTGAATGGGTGAGTTGTTTGCTCCGGCTCCGATGCTTCAAATGTCCAACCCGTCATGTTGTCCGCTGAAACATTCATCCCCCCACCAAATTACACCTCCTACTGCTTGCTGCACAACTTGAAGTTCTGGCCCTTGCACAAATTTTCTTGGGTCTTGAAGAAAATCTAACCCGACCACCCAACACCATACTCGAAAGGTTCAAAGCATTGCTGCAGGACCTGTACCTGTGTTTTTGTTTGACATGCCATGTCAAAGCCAACCAATCTTGGGCCTCTGCAGCTTTGTCAAAGGGTCGGCTGAGCTCTCCTGCCTGGCAACGAGGAAATCTGAAATAATGGCAACTAGTAGCTTCGTGTTATTACTAGAGATGCCCTTTGTTACTAGTAGCTTCTTGTTCCTAGTAGTAATGCCCTTGTTACTAGTAGCAAACACGCATGGTCAATGGCAACTTCCGCAACACGCAGCTTTCCGACCGCACAATGGGTCTACAGGATCGAAGCGCTCTGGCCAAATCATTTGGGACACATGACCTCAGTACAAAGACAACCACCTCAGCCCAGCAAAGGTTCTACACGATCTACAGACTCATCACTCATAACTATCAAAAACACACCCAACAATGTAACACCTTGCGGAGCTTGTCACAACACAAACCCATGGAAAAGTGCAAACAGTCCCTACTTCCATGAGTACACCTTCTCGCTCGAAAAAAGATTGCAAATCTTCTCACTCCGGCCATCTCCCTCTTCGAGTCCAGTAGCGATGGCCTCCACCTTAATAGCGTCCTTGCTCCTAGGAGTAAGGCCAGGAGCCCCTAGTAGCGTCTGTCAGTCCCTCATTTGTCATTTTGTCCATAGAGAACCGGTGCATGTTTTAGTTTATTGACATGGAAGTTGGAGCTGCCAATGGACACTCACACCAAACTTTGATCAGCAAATCAAATCCAGAAGGCTGCCTTCAACTTATCCAAGCAGCGAAACTGTCACAATTCTGCCTTCGGCCCGAAATTGAAGGCTAGAACGGTGCAAAAAGCTTCTTGGACACCAATGCATATCTGATCGATATGTTTTCTCTGCAGAATATCTCTCGTCACAAACCACCTAAGCTGGGTGGTGCTTGTTTTCCAAAGCTTCGTCTATGAAGATCGACCATGAAGTCAAACCACAAAATCAAACCAAATCACAACAAAAAAGGTTCATCAATTTCCCAGGTCACAGGATGGCCAATATGTGCGGAGTGCACACGAATCTGATGTTTTCTACCTGTGAGAATGCGGATGGACACCAGGCACAGCGAATCATTCTCTCCGAGGTAGTGAGAGCAGTTGTAGTATATTGTGATGGAGGGCCGGCCAAACCTGGAGCTTGGTAGGACACAAATAACATCTCTTGATTAAAGCCACCCATGTGCAACACATGAGGCTACTATGTGGCTGTGTATGTCACAGTATGTCGTTCCATTTGTTGCCCCCCTGTAGCTGGACCCTCAACAAGTTTTGATTCAGCCAACGGCACTGAATCAGTGGTGCCTGCCAATCTCAGCAAGGGTTGTGTCTGTTGTTGGCATCGTTTGATTGCGGAGTTCTTTGGCTTACTATCTATACTCCGAGCTCGGCTTCCTGAGCCTTTAGATAAAGTGTTCAGACCCAAGAGATGACCTGGCTAGTGTAAACGTAAGTCAGTATTGATGGATGCATGCATGAATTTACGAAATCTCACACGATATAAATAGACCGCATTGACCACATCATATTTATATGTATGTGGATCTTCTTAACACAGTTCGTTTTCTCTAAGCAAGATCACATACCCAAAGTGATGTGAAATGGCCGTAGGCTGTAGATGTACAGGCTGACACGAGGACTGCTTACATGCTCCACTATCTGCCGTATAATACAAGTTGAACAAGAGGGCTGAGCAATGTCTCCAGCCAGGGCCACAAGTGAAATACTATTTGCAGTTAATGAAGTCGGTAATATAGGTAGCCACTTAGGTAGCCTTCTTCAAATGTGTTTTCAATAGATTTTAAGGGTTATTGAAGCAGGGTTTTAGACGGATCTCTGACCAAGGCTCTGTCCGACAGAGCTGCTGGTGCTGCGACCGTCAGACCACCAATGCACTGGTGACCGGACTTCATCACGCTTTTCAGGAATGAAACCGTGACAGAGCACGGTGTAGTCCTTTCTTCGCATAGCGTCACGAATGCCGACCGAGGGTATTTCCGGTTGTCTTGCTATGCTGGACTCCCTGGACCCTGGAAACAATGCTTCACGAAGATGGCGGTCTTTGAAGAACAACGTTTTTGAGAACACTCTCCAGTTTGCACCAGACACGAGTGAGTGTCTTTGTTCATCTTTGATCAAACAATAAAACGAACCCTCGGAAAGGAAAACATGCCGCAAGCTGTTTTGATCCGAGAGGTTACAAGCATGGGGACGTAACCCCCGGACACGATCCGTCTATAAAGAGGGGTCAAAGAGGGCATTGATCACCAACCGTAACAGTTCAGGGAAAAAGCTCCTTCACGAAGCGACCTCTTCGCGAGCCCTAAACTGAACAGGTGACGAAACATGAAACTTGAACAAGACCAGGATTCGCTCCCTTCTTGCCCTCACCCCGATCTGGACAGAACTGTGAACTTGAAACAGTTCTCTGCGCGTGCCTGCCTGCCTTGGCACCCCGCAGCATAACGCTACAGGGTGGGCAGGGTTGGGTGTTCTTGCCTGGCAATGATCTCTCGCCAAAATGGCATCGAGAGGAAACGAAAGTCGATCGATCAAGCTGAACAGCAAACACGAAAGTGCTCCTCCTGTTCCTACCTACCAGACCAACAACATGAGAACCACTCTCCAGTTTGCACCAGACACGAGTGAGTGTCTTTGTTCATCTTTGATCAAACAATAAAACGAACCCTCGGAAAGGAAAACACGCCGCAAGCTGTTTTGATCCGAGAGGTTACAAGCATGGGGACGTAACCCCCGGACACGATCCGTCTATAAAGAGGGGTCAAAGAGGGCATTGATCACCAACCGTAACAGTTCAGGGAAAAAGCTCCTTCACGAAGCGACCTCTTCGCGAGCCCTAAACTGAACAGGTGACGAAACATGAAACTTGAACAAGACCAGGATTCGCTCCCTTCTTGCCCAGGCCCCCCCTTACGACCACACACCTTTTAGACACATCGTTGCGCTAGTCTCGAACGAGCTGCTCGGGCCAGGCAGTCTCGATTGTGAGCCAGCCAGCGTTCGACCCCGTCGTCAAATCATCTCTTGACGGGGCATCTGCCGGATTGGCGTCTGTGGCCACTCGATCAATGAAAACACGAACCCGCAGGCTCAGGATCAAATCCCAAAAGACTGACACGAGCGTGCAGAGGTCTTCATGACTCGAGTAACCTTTAACAAGAGCAGCTTCCACCACTTCGGAATCAGTGAACAAAAACAGATCTGCTCCTTGAAGCCGATCGGCAAATGTTTCGAGTGCCACGATAGGGGCGAGCATTTCAACCGGCACGATTTGTGTCTTCCGCTCGAGCCAACACCTCATCAACTTCTTAGGTACTGGCAAAGTGAACTGTAGTGCTGAGCAAAGCCTACGATCGAAAAACACCGCCCCTATTCGGTCAGGTCTAGAATCCGAAGAGCGGAAATCAGGTGAAAAACCATCGGTGAACAACACTGCGTCTGCCTTCTTTCCAGGACAGCAATCGATCGTTCTCGGGGGCCCATCTCGAACGAGCTTGAGCCACTGGTTCAGCGACTCTCTCAACGGTGGGTCTAACCCGAACCTGTCACCGACGGCAACACGAGCGTATTGCCTTTCCGAGAGCACTCTGAGAAAAGCTCGACCGACTTTCCCCCAGAGCTGACTTGCTCCGAACATTAACTTACCCTTAAGTTTCCCAGCCTGACCAGGCTCAAGCAGGTCTTCTGCCAAGATGCTTTCGATCTCCTCCACGAGCTCTTCTCGGCGAGAGGCCTTGATCTCGAGGATCCAGTCGTCTAGGTTGTAGGTAACACCTAAGATCGTCGGCTGAGACGAGAGCTGCAGCTTATTGGCGTCGAACGTGGCTCCGAGCCACCAGTGCACTTTCTGCGCAATTTCGAAAGCCGACTGAACAGTCTCAAAGGGCTCGAAACCGTATTTATCATCATAAAAAGAGAAGGTCACTAAGTTGAACAAGCTAACGAGCACCTCGTTAATGGCTGCAGACCTACGATTGTAATTATAGACTGCAGAGACGAGGCCGAACGAGTGACCGATCATGATGAAGAACTCCGGCTTCCCCGAGCTGGGATTCTTCAAACAAATTACACTGAACTTCCTATGGCGCGGTCGAATAGCCACCTGGCGGTAGGCTTTGCGTTCGTCGAGCACCCAACCCGCAAATCTCGCATCTGGCATAAGCGAACGCATCTTGCGGAGAGCTGCAACGTTCGAGTCGGCCGAGGGAAGTTGCAGCTTCTCGGTGATCACCGTGATCTGATTAATGAGGTTAGTTGTGGCACTGTCGCAGCCTCGAACCTTGTTACGTTGAACAACCTCAAACCTTTGCGTCGGAATCCAGTCTTCGCAAGCGAGAAGCCTGGAGATCTCATGTTCATGCTGAAAAGGACCGATGGTGGATCCCTCGGCCACATCTTCCAGGGTGGCATCCCAGATCTTTTTCAAGTTCTCGGAAACACAAACCCCTCGAACACGAGAGACGATCTTCGCTCTCAAGGCCCAGGCCCTAGAACATGCATGCTCGATCCTAACATGCGGTTGATCTTTATCATATGGGCCCCATCGCCTCGAACGGGCGATGGGCCCGACTATTGGAAAACCTTGTAGGAGCAAATCAGGCAAAAACTTGTCGACCGAATCACACGCTTCAAGCATTGCATAGTACAAAGCAACATGACAGCAGGTGCCGAGCTGGCAGGGCTCATTGTCTGGCGCTCCTCTCAACAGACGGCGCAAGTATGGATCCTCTTGTGAGTTGATCAGCTGGTCAGTGAGCGGCAACAACTCAAGAGCACGAGACTCCCAGAAGGCTAGTGCGCGCGCACGCTGGGACAACACAGCTAACGGATCCTGCGCCAAAGACGAGATGCAGCCGTCTAATGCTTGATCCAAGGACAGGTCAGCGCACAAGGGGTGTGGCAGATCGAGCGCCCAAGCGATGGCCATGCCCGGCTCGGTTTCCACATGTAACAAAGGCTTACGAGCTCCGCGCTTGAGCTGGTACCCGGCAGCTTCCGCCTTCAGAGCGGAGAGAGCCTGACGGTGCTGTTTCCACTTCAGAGGCTGTCCGAGCGGACGCTTGCGATCGGTAGTGCGCAAGCGAAAGCTGTCCCGGAACTGCCAACCCTGATCAAGCCAGACCGGTATCAAGATATCTGCGAACTGTTGGCAGAGCTGACCAGGATAGACCTGTGCTAACTTAGTGCGAAAGACCCACGACTGGAAAAACTCGGACCAAACTTTACCCGTGAGCTTAACATGCTTATGCGACCTGCTGCAACGACAGTGCAAGGCACGAAAAGATTGGTGAGACACGAGCAGTCGTGTTGGCTTCATGGACGGTGCGCCAAATTCGCACTGATCGAAATCCACGCAGAACGCCCGAGCCTGGTGTCGAAGCTTGGCAATAGCCTCCGTACTCCAAAGCAGGCTGAACTCGGGGTTCTCGATGGAGAAATTCCCACCTTGCTGGAACACAGCAGCACAGGCTTCGGTCGAACGTGCGAGAAAAGCATTGCCTAGGAAGACCATTGCTTGGTTGTCGAGCGAAAGCTCCGGCAGACCTTCGGGGTAAAGGGCCGAGCGGAGCGGAGGCGGCCCTCCATCAAGCTTACGAGCAGCCGAGAAGGTGTTACAGGGCGTGCCGCAATGTACGAAGCGCACAGCCCCTGCTCGGATCACAGCCATGACGAAGGACCACAGATCTGCATCAAGCACATCGAAGGGTGAATCAACCTCGGCACATCGGGTGACGTCGATAGGTGGCAACACTGGGATGCCGGCGGCGCGAACGGCCTGTGTGAGCGTTGCAGTGCCGGAGAAGATCTCTAAAAAGAAAGGTCCCGCTGCAGCAACGATCGCGACATCACGTGGCACCTGGGCCCAAGACGACCATGGTGCTTGCGAGGATGACACACTCAATCCAGCCAAGTGAACTTCACTCGTGTCATCGGGCTCCTGCAATTGGGGGGCGGACTCTGGAGCCGAAGAGGCCACCCCTTCGAGCGCTTCACGAGTTCAGTGATTCCCGTGCCACGGGTGATTCTTCCCGCATTCGACACAGGAGTGGAGACTCTTGCACTGATCAGCGAAGCGACACCCCAGCGAACAATTGAACCAAATGCAGCGCTTCTTGCCGGAGTATTTGAAGGACGAAAGCTTTGACCATTCTGCGGCTGGGATGCGAGCATCCTTCTTCGGTGGATCCCTTTTGGTGCCGGACAAGTGTTCACGAGCTTGCTGAAGCGTCTTTTTGGCGCGCTCGCGCCTGGCTTTGTTCTTCTTGGCCTTGCTAGACTGCTTTGGCAATGACTCCGAACGGTCACGCTTGGTCGAGCGCCGAGTTGGCGTCGATGGAGCGGAGGACTGACCCGCCTGACGAAACTTGTCTAGTTCGGCACTGGATCGAGCGTCATTCCAAAGCTGTTTGTGGTTGGACAGAACTTCAAGCAACGCAGCCGAAAAACTCGAAAACGTCTTGCGATGATCTGAGTTGAGCCGATACACTTTCTTCCTGATCAGACTGTCGACCGATAGCAGCAATGCGAGACCACGATTTTCATGGCGCCACTCCTCCAACTCGGACAGGTAGCGCAACGGACCGGCAGCATAAGTGAAATCACAAATATTGAGATACTCAAGAGCAACCAGAAAGGCGTGCAACTTGTCCATGACTTGCGATTCCGATGCGGCGATCGCCGGCTGATCAACAGTCACCACTTTGAGCAAATCTTCGGCGTTCTTGGACAAGCCACTCTTTTGAGCGATCTGCTCGCTGCGTGTCCGCATCTCGCCAACCTCGTAGAAAGGCACGGAGCCGTGCACGAGATAGTCACGTTGGAGTCGTTCGACCAACTTGCGATGAGGCTCTCTATGATGTGGGAGCAACACATCTGGATGACGATGCACGAACTGTTCACGAAATTCGGCATGATCATCCCCGGGGATTTCCGGG